CAGAAAAATTGAAAAATTGATAAATCACCACAATTGTTAAGCACGATTTTATCTCAGGAACTATAAGTGTCAATGAGCTGAAATTTTCAGGGATTGTAGCCCTTTGAAAAGGATAATTTTCAGTGAAAGATTCAGCTTTCTATCTATAATAGAAAAAAAGTTATGACTTTTCAAAATTTTCCAAAAAAATCATAAGGGGGGTACCTTCCTACTAAAACGATGAAATTTCAAATTTTTTTTTGTCGAGATTTTGTGTCCAAATGGTCCCTCGTGATACCCTGAACTCCATAAACTAAATTATTCTCAGATTTGAAGCCAAAATCCATGAAGAAAGGCACTCAGAAAAATTGAAAAATTGATAAATCACCACAATTGCTTAGCACGATTTTATCTCAGCAACTATAAGTGTCAATGAGCTGAAATTTTCAGGGATTGTAGCCCTTTGAAAAGGATAATTTTCAGTGAAAGATTCAGCTTTCTATCTATAATAGAAAAAAAGTTATGACTTTTCAAAATTTTCCAAAAAAATCATAAGGGGTACCTTCCTACTAAAACGATGAAATTTCAAATTTTTTTTTGTCGAGATTTTGTGTCCTAATGGTCCCTCGTGATACACTGAACTCCATAAACTAAATTATTCTCAGATTTGAAGCCAAAATCCATGAAAAAAGGCACTCAGAAAAATTGAAAAATTGATAAATCACCACAATTGCTTAGCACGATTTTATCTCAGCAACTATAAGTGTCAATGAGCTGAAATTTTCAGGGATTGTAGTCCAATGAAAAGGATAATTTTCAGTGAAAGATTCAGCTTTCTATCTATAATAGAAAAAAAGTTACGACTTTTGAAAGTTTTCCGAAAAAATCATAAGGGGGGTACCTTCTTACTAAAATGATGAAATTTCAATTTTTTTTTTGTCGAGATTTTGGGTCCTACTGATCCCTCGTGATACCCTGAACTCCATACACAAAATTATTCTCAGATTTGAAGCCGAAATCTATGGAAAAAGGCACTCAGAAAAATTGATAAATCACCCCAATTGCTTAACACGATTTTATCTCAGGAACTATAAGTGCAAATGAGTTGAAATTTTCAGGGATTGTAGTCCAATGAAAAGGATAATTTTCAGTGAAAGATTCAGCTTTCTATCTATAATAGAAAAAAAGTTATGACTTTTCAAAATTTTCCAAAAAAATCATAAGGGGGGTACCTTCCTACTAAAACGACGAAATTTCGAATTTTTTTTTGGCGAGATTTTGTGTCCTAATGGTCCCTCGTGATACCCTGAACTCCATAAACTAAATTATTCTCAGATTTGAAGCCGACATCTATGAAAAAAAGCACTCAGAAAAATTGAAAAATTGATAAATTTCCACAATTGCTTACCTCGATTTTATCTCAGGAACTATAAGTGCAAATGAGCTGAAATTTTCAAGGATAGTAGTTCCCCCACTTTTTCCCCCACTTTTTTTCCCCCAATTTTTTTCCCTTACTTTTGCCTGCCACGCCCCTCCAAGCCCCACCCCTTTTAGTGTCACGTCCCTTTAGTGCCATGCCCCTCCAAATCCCGCCCCTTTTAGTGCCACGCCTCCTTTAGTGCAACGCTTCTTCTAGTGCCACGCCCCCTTTTGCGCCACGCCCCTCCAAACCCCGCTCCTCTCAGTGTCACGCCCCCTTTAGCGCCAAGCCCCTCCAAACCCCGCCCCTTTTAGTGCCACGCTCCTTCTAGTGCCACGCCCCCTTTAGCGACACGCCTTTTCAAACCCCGCCTCTTTTAGTGCCACGCCCCTCCAAACCTCGCTCCTTTCAGTGTCACGCCCCCTTTAGCGCCACGCCTCTTCAAACCCCGCCTCTTTTAGTGCTACGTTTTTTCTAGTGCCACGCCCCCTTTAGCGCCACGCCTCTCCAAACCCCGCCCCTTTTAGTGCCACGCCCCTCCAACCCCCGCCCCTTTCAGTGTCACGCCCCCTTTAGCTCCACACCCACACTTTTTTTCGCCCACTTTTTCCCCCATTTTTATTTCCCTCACTTTTAGTGGGGTACCTTCTTACTAAAATGATTAAATTTCAAAATTTTTTTTGCCGAGATTTTGTAGCCTAATGGTCAATCAACATACCCCAAACTCCATAGACTAAATTATTTTCAGATTTGAAGCCGAAATCTATGAAAAAAGGCACTCAGAAAAATTGAAAAATCACCCAAAATTGCTTAACACGATTTTATCTCAGGAACTATAAGTGCAAATCAGGGATTGTAGTCCTTCGAAAATGATGACATTCAGTGAAAAATTCAGCTTTCTATCTATAATAGAAAAAAAGTTATGACCTTCTAAAGTTTTCCAAAATCTAGGTAGGTACCTTCTTATTAAAATGATGAAATTTTTTTTGCCGAGATTTTGTATCCTAATGGTCAATCAACGTACCCTCAATTCCATACACAAAATTATTGTCAAATCTATGAAAAAAGGCTCTCAGAAAAATTAAAAAATTGATAAATTACCCCAAATTGCTTAACACGATTTCATCTCAGGAACTATAAGTGCAAATATGCTGAAATTTTCAGGGATTGTAGTCTTTTGAAAGGGATAATTTTCAGTGAAAGATTGAGCTTTCTATCAAAATTTTCCAAAATCTAAATCATGAGGTATAATAGGTATGTACCTTCTTACTAAAATGATGAAATTTCAAAATTTTTTTGCCGAGATTTTGTATCCTAATGGTCAATCAACATAACTTAAACTCCATATATAAGTTTATTCTCAGATTTGAAGCCGAAATCTATGAAAAAAGGCACTCAGAAAAATTGAAAAATTGATAAATCACCCCAAATTGCTTAACACGATTTTATCTCAGGAACTATAAGTGCAAATGAGCTGAAATTTCAGGGATTGTAGTCCTTCGAAAATGATGACATTCAGTGGAAGATTCAGCTTTCTATCTATAATAGAAAAAAAGTTATGACCTTCCAAAATTTTCCAAAATCTAAATCATAAGCCAATTTTTTGTGCAACTTTAAACTTTTGAAAATCATAATAATTATTTGAAGTCTTATTCCCAATAAGAGAAAACAAATTTGAACTCGATATTGGATACCTACAGAAGCAAAGTTATGACAATTTTTCATGGCCTATTTTATCTAAAAAAAAAAATAATTTATTTGGATTGGATGCTCCTAGGACAAATAGTTTCTGAGCGGCCCCCTTTCTTATTTGGACACCCGGTACAAAAGTTTTATTTTTGGATTTTTTTCGCTGACCAGAGCAGACTCCCCATACCAACCCGTCCGCATCTAAACATTCTGGTATAGGATTCGGCACCTAGGCATATTTCATTGGTCCGTTTGAATTCGGACCGCCAGTTGATGCGGAGTGCCGAACTCGGTACTTGAATGTTGAACGGTGCTGAGCCTCAGGTCAGAATGGTCCATTAGCAACAGCCATGTGGCTTGCCGAATCTAAGGTTAAAATGTTAAACAGTGCTGAGTATCAGGTCCGAATGTTGCCATACGTTTGGCGCGGTTTTTATATTAAATCAGCTGTCCACCTCCTTCGTGTTCCTCTTAGCTACAATTTTGCGGCGGATGCGGTTTATTTCGCCGTTGCATGTGTTCTTGTGCTTAAACATGCAAGATGAGTTTGCCTGGATCATTTAAACACTTTCAATGTGGTGAGCAAATTTACCGAGCCAACATTTTGGAGGAAAACGATATAAAGCAATGGATAGAAGAGTATAGTGATATAACATACACGAATTGGAATATAAAGTCAGCGAAGAATAATTAGGTAAACCAGATTCAAATGCAGGTTTGTGTTCAATGTCAATTCAATGACGTAGAATCTTCTCGGATGCGAATAGACTTTGGAAAATACATTTTTTTAGATATGTTTTTGTACGCCATCATAGTGCTTATAAAAAAGTGGATCAAGAAAATAATAAGAAAGGAAAATCCAAAAACTGCTGTTGGCCTGGCTTCAATTGATATTTTAATTAAACTAAGCACCACAGATACCAAAAAAAGATAAATATATTAGGGTATTTATTTTCAAAATTTTCTACTCTAATTTGCCAGGTTTTAGGTTTTTATAATCGCCCCCCTGGGTCCGCCACTGCAAATAATTGTCCAAGATTTTTTGAAATGTATCGTTGAAATAAAATAAATGTGTAACAAAAAGTAAATAAAGTTTGTTTGTATTGATTTTGTGCCGCGCTAACGGAGTAACATTCCAACCTGCAGTTGGGCACTGTTTAACATTTTGACTTTTGATTCGGCACTCCACATAGTATATGTATATACCATTCCGACCTGAGGTTCAGCACCGTTCAACATTCAAGTACGGATATCGGCACTCCGCATTAATTGGCGGTCCGAATTCAAACGGACCAATGAAATATGCCTAGATGCCGAATCCTATACCGGAATGTTTAGATGCAACCCGTCCGCCTAGTGCAATCTGGTGCTCGTTCCGAGCACTCCATCTGTTTCGAGCACTCTAACTGTTCTAAGCACTCTCGAGTACTCTATCTGTTCCGAATACTCTATCTGTGCGAAACACTTTAGCTGTTCCGAGCACTCCAACTATTTCAACTGCTTTCGATAAATTTGTTTTTTTAAATGAAATGGTAACTAGGACTAGATCGCACTAGGCGAACTGGTTAAGTTTGAGTGTCTGCATTTTTATGGTGGACCACTACGGTTACGCCAACCTAACCGTGGCATGACATGACGCTGTATAGTTGTATTCCTTTCACACCTAGGAGACGCTCCGGAACAGCTCCGTGGCTTCACGTGCTTATTCCTTTCGAAAAGTGTTTGTTGCGCCACGCATCTGTTCCCTGCAAATCGGGGGCAACTGAACACCGGAGCGAGTAGCTCGAGTGTTTCAAACTCTTGAAAGGAATACAATTTATGCGACCTATTACGTTTATTGGAGACCATGCCTAACCTGGCTGTAGTGTCGTTGACGTTGACAGTTTGTTGTGTTCTTAACATACATAACCAAAAAAGTTGTTTTGTTGGTCCCACTACTTCACGTCCAGGAAAAAAAAACAAAGTGCTTGTACTGCTTGTGCTACAATTTACAAATTGGCTTTTGAGAGTTTCTAATCCAAAGTGAGTAATAATTACTGATAAAAAATATATCCTGGTATTTATTGAATTGTTCTTGAGGCCTGGATAAAGTATCAGCTTTAGGAATGCTAGGATGCAAAGTATTTATGCTCGAGTAAGCAATTCATGTTGATTTTACTTTTCGCGTAGCTACCTTATATGAGTTGGAATCGTTTAATTATTATTTATTCACATACCTTGGGCCATTTTTACATTATCTTGTCTTATAATCTTATACCTATATTTAATGTTTATTTATAACTAATGTTCGTAGATTTTAATTTGATACTCCAAAGGAATGTGAGCTGGTGGCTCCCTACATTAGAACGCCAATGGTCTGGTCACCTGACATCACACCTGTTTTTGCCATATGCTTCACCCCCCTCGCTCCTCATACGGAAAGTTTCAGATTAAAAACGACGGACAATAGATATCTTGGGTGATCGAACACAGCTATTATTGGCAAATGGCATCCCAAATTTAATAATATTTAGGTCGGTTTAACAGGAGTATTTATTTGTGCCTGTTTTTCATGCCCAATTGTTCCTATAATCGGCCTTAACCCAATTGCAATTTGCATTAAATTGATTTACAAACAAGCAATTTTGGCCGTGGCTCTAGTCTAGTTAAGCAGGCCATGGAACCTGTCAGGAGTGCGTTCTAGAACACTCGGGTGATCCTATCCTGTCTGAAGAAGAACCTATTCTAACTGGTGATTCAATGTGTGGTGGTTGTAATTTCATTTCTCCTGTACTCTATTATCTTCCTTTGAAATTAGAGTGATTGAGCTTGTGCAATATCTTAAGTATTTCTGCATTCTTCAAAGACTGTAAGGGGAATTTGGGAGCTATACTACTACTTACTAAGAAATCAAGTTGAAGTACATACTGAAAGACAAGTATGTGAATGTGAAACCGAAATTATTCGGATTAGCGAACTATGTAGGTATTGTCACAAATTTATTCTTAACCTGCTTTTAGGATTTTAAAATTCCAATAAGGTTTGTTCTAGAGTTAAATTTTTTTTTATTATTTTGCTCCTTATTTTGTATTAAATTTTGTTTTAATAATAGAATTCACATAATATACTTATGATAATAATAGGGAATTTTCATAAGAAATAAATATGGCTTATTTTGTTTTTATGGTGCACATTTTTGTGTAAAATATTGAATATGAGCAGTTTTGTATTAAATTTATGGATGTTATAGTCATATGGCATTTATTAGTTTTAAATTGAAAAGTTTCGCGCGGAAAAGTTATGTTTAACATGGCCGCTTCCAGTGACGTCAACTGTTCGTAATTTGAGGTTAAGGGTAGTTAACACTGATCGTAAATCCACGGTCCACACTTTCGTGGTTCACTCTTGAATCGTGGAACGATTGGTCCACGATCAGCTCACGTCACGCCACGACTAATATTGAACCACCATAAACGGGTATATTGAGGGAAGATTGTCAGACTGCGCTTTTGTAAATACTGTATCAACCATGATGAACTATTTGAATTACAAGGTGTCACAATATGGCACTAAATATGGAAATACCTCATAAATAACCGCTTTCAAGTTTCAATGCAGTCGCAGGTTCAAGCTGAGCGATTCTTTCCGACAGTTTGCAAAGTGTCAAAGTCAAAGTCAAAAAATGCTTTATTGTCTAAGAACAAAATTCTCGTCGACAAAGCTGTAAAAGGGGAAAAAAAAAACATTATACAAAAATAATTCCAGGGCCATAGAGTACCAAGATTGAAATAATCAAAATAAAAATACAATACAAGGTCAGACTAAAACAATAAAATCATTTAAACAGTAATTAAAACAAAAGATGAAGTCACTTTAAAAATCAACATAAATATAAACATAAATCAACATAAATACAAAAACATGTTCATTCTAAAATATAAAATACAAAATATCAAAATTGTACAAACGTAAAGTCAACAGACAGAAGTCATTAAATAAAACTACAAATTATATTCAGACAGTCACAAGAAAGCATCTTGGAAAAATTCTTCTGTGCTATAGTAGGCCTTTGATAATAGAAGCCTCTTAAGATGTACTCTAAATTTTTTACCAGATACTATCTGTCTCAGATGCAGTGGCAAATGGTTAAAGATCTTTTTACTTTGATAGATTATCGAGTTTTTTGTTTGTGTGGAGGAAGGGATAGGAAGGTTCACATTGTGTGTTTGTCGAGTGGTATGTACAGATGAAAATTCGTGTATGTTTTCCTTAAACTTTTTATGAATGAGACATGAAGTCTCTAGTAAAAAAATACTAGGAAATGTAAGCAATTTATGACGCAAAAACAATGGTCTACATGAGTCTCGTAATCCTATCTTAAACATATACCTTACCGCCCTCTTTTGCAACACAAACAACATATTAGAGAGAGACAATGAACAAAAACCCCAGAAACATATTCCATACCGCAAATGGGATTCAACGAGAGCAAAGTATGCACTTTTTGTTGTCCCAAGATCTAGCTTACTCGATATTACTCTGATTGCATAACATCCTGATGACACCTTTTTGCTCATGTATGTTAAGTGAGGCTCAAATTTTAGTCTATCGTCTATGTATACTCCTAAAAACTTACTCGATTTTTGACTGGCAACAGTATCTGCCCCTAAGGTAATTCCCTCAAAACCACATTTAAATGTTAACACATTTGTCTTCGACACATTAAAAGTTAAACAATTCGCATCAGTCCATTCTTTTACCTTAACTAAATCATTATTGATATCCGATTATTTAAGCTGTTCTACATCCTTATTTACCCAGAGAATCGTGGCATCATCGGCAAACAGTGTAAATACCCCAACTATATCAATGCTAGACAGATCGTTGATGTACAATAAAAATAATAGAGGTCCCAAAACAGATCCTTGTGGAACTCCTGCACTTATAGCCAGTTGTTCTGAATCAACACCATCAAAAGTAACTCTCTGTGCCCGTTCAGAAAAGTAGGACTCAAACCACTTTAGAGCTACCCCCCTCACCCCATAGGCTTCCAGCTTACATAACATTATTTTATGATTGACACAGTCAAAGGCCTTTGACAAATCACAAAAAACCGCTGCTGCGACATCACCGTTATTTAATCCCAAATATAGTTTCTCCAAAAATGCGAAAATTGCATCATTTGTGCCACATGACTCCTGAAATCCAAACTGTTCACAACAGAGAATACTATGTTTTTTAAGAAAACACATTGACTAGCTTTTCTATTACTTTAGACATTGTAGGCAACAATGAGATTGACCTAAAATTTGAGGGTGTATCGCAGTCACCACCCTTGTGAAGAGGTAAGACCCTTGCAAGTTTCAGACAGGAAGGGAGGCTCTTGTGAGAACAAACCTTAACGTTGTGTTTACAGACAGTTGACGTCACAAATGACACCATCTTGAAGCTAATCGTTTTCGCGCCAACGAAAATAATTTGAAATTGAAAATAATTTTTTTATTTCAATGAGGACATAAAACAAAAAAGAACATAGGGTGAAAGTACCTGTTAGCCGGCCACCCCCTGTTGTCGGACACTTTACGACAAAATATCCAATAAATAGCAAAATATTATTTCAAACCCTTTTTTAAAGTAATTCCTACTTTCAGACACTATTTCCCCATCAGTTTTTGTAATACCGCCCTCTTTATGGGTCTAGACCAAATTAAGAAAAATAATAATATGTCGGCTGTTTTTCCCAACACAGCCCTTTTGATTAAGTGAAAAAATTTGCTAGTGTGAAGCTAAGAAGGAAATAGTAAAAATGTTCCTACTCCATTTTTCGATACTTTCTTGATGTTTTCAAGTTATAAATATGTTAATTTACAATTATAACCATAAAAATTAAATGAATATTAATATTTTGTTTATTTTATTAAATGTCCGGATAACCGGTCCTATAAATCAGCAGAATCCACTTCTCGGCCACTTTGTCCGACAATTGGTCCGGCACGTTGAAACTATATGTATTTTTTTCTAGCCTATTTGATTTTCAACTTAATTTTCCTTATCAGATACGTTAGACGACTGTATCGAGATTCTATGGATCAGTTTGCGGACACTATAAACCATAAAGGCGTCAAATTGTAGTATACCTGAAAAGATGTCCGAGAAAAGGTAGGTGTAAAGTTCTCGGACATTGTACATTACTTATATGGGTATGGGGTTTGGGGTAGTGCTTTCTGCTTTCATTTTAATAAAAAAGTGTTACAAGTGTACAGAGAATAAATCTGATAAAAGTATTTATGAAATAGAAGTTGAAGAAGCAATGGAAAAATCTCCTCTTAAAGATCAAAGCGATTCTCCTGGAACTGAGAAACCTGATAAAACAACAGAAATAGGACTGGAGGCTCAAAAAAAACTCCCATTAAACTGCCAAATGTTGCCGTTGTTGTAAGTCCTTTCAGTCGCCACCTCCAATTTCCGGAACCTATCAAATACTTAAGAGCCAAGAAAACAAAAAAAAAAAGAGAAATTATCAAGTGCAATCTCATCAAAGGCATGGAGATTTTATTATGAAAGAAGGGAACAAAAAAAAGAAAAAAAAACTTGAAGCACAAAAAAAGAAAAATGAGGAAAGACTAGAGAAACAAAATACCAAAAAAAGTGCAAACAATGATGGAAGAAAAAGAAAATTGACTAAAAATTCCAAAATAAAATATTGGTTGTGGGAAGTGCCCAAACTGGTACCATTTAGCATGTACTAGTTTATGTGGACGAAAAAACGTATTGGGTCCTTTTGTGTCCGAGAAATGTGATGATTGTCCGACAACAGGCAAAATGCATGTTTTTTGGATAAAAGCATTTTTCTATAAAAATACAAAACCTTTTAGCCTTTTTTGTTGCAGCAATCAATTTTATATACTATAAGGTATCATAAAACATTATTTAAATTTGATTCGCTCTATCCACTAATTTTCAATCGCCATTTTATTCCAGAATTTGCCTTAAGTGGTCGACAACAGGTACTTTCACCCTATACATTTTATATTTGAAAACAT